AAAAAAAAAATGTATCCAGCCAATCAATCATTTAATTAAGGGCGTCAGTGACTCGCCCGAATAGCCCTTAAAACAACAGGTCAAGTCACATACATGGGTACAGTTAAGGCTAAACAAAGCATGTTTTAGGTGCATATGAAATATCTCCCTTACGCATGGATGTGAGCTGTGGATCACATGTTTATGCTTCAGGCCTGTCTTCTCTGGTGCATTAAGTGCAGGGTAATCTCCACACACTGCTGTCTAAATTACCTACATGCCCATTTATTTTCTGTTGCAAACATTTTTACTTGTCTGTTAAGATTACATGCATAAGGCCTACATGAAAACTATTGTTCTCCAACTCATTTCTGCTGTTGGTTAGCCTGATAAAGACTGTTTATCTGTCTGCTATCCTTGTGGCTCATCAGGAAAAGATGACTGACAGCTGCTTTGTTGCTGTACGTTAAATGTCATGTTTCAGTCAGGGAACAGCAAACTTTGCAACTGGTTTAAAAAACAAACAAACAAAAAAAAAACAACTTATATTATAACGGTCACTGATAGCATACCATAGCACTTTTTTCCCCCCAGTGCATATGGGACAGCACCGCCTTCGGTGTATGTGTGTGAGTTGGTGCTGCAGATGGCTTCCTTCGTTCTGTGCTTGAGACAAATTTCCTGTGTGTGTAACATACTTAGCCAGTAAAGTGATTATTATGTGTATACTGTGTGTGTGTGTGTGTGTGTGTGGGGAGAGAGGGGAATTTAAGCATCCACACTGGACTTGTTGAAATGTGACATCTTCACCACTTTGCCCACAGTCCAATCACTGAGTCCCCATTTTACCTGTAAACCAACAAGTGAAGTCCTCCTTTTACCTGCAAACCAGTCTAAGTGCCTCTCCCCACACTGTCCTTGTAATGCTAATGATTGAGGTGTGAAGATCAGACATTTAACTAGCAATCAAATGTCTAAAGTACAAACTAGTTTCCATGTTAATTCTGAGCACAACTTGAGAAGTAAAGACCGAGTAACAACAAACCCACGTGTGATATCTGCTTGGTATCCACCATGGCTTGCCAAGGAACTACTATATTGGGAAACAAAAGAGAGGAATTTTCCTTAAATAGATTGTAAGTCCAACATGAAAAATCAGGATTGTATCCTTTAAGATGCCATGGTCATTATGAGCCAGAAAAAAATGATTAAATGGATAGACAATAAATGAGTTATGAATTTCCTTTCTTCAAACAGGGAGCTCACTTTGTTTTGGAGTAAGCTGTTAAAGCGCTTGGAGCCATCAGAGCAGGCCTTCCTCGACAGATGCCGCCAGATGTCCGCATTTTCCAAAACTGTTTACCACATCTTGTTCTTCATCAAGGTCATCCAATCAGAGGTCAGTGAACAGTCAGCTGTGGTGGTATTATCAATGTGTGAGCACACTGCAAAACAGAAATGATCATCACTATTTGCCTTTAAACTATTATGAATTATATTCCCTCAATTTTCTGGTGCATTTACTTTAAGCTGTTTTTGCCAAAATTTAAAGTTCTCTGAACGTAAGCTTGAAAGGTGGTTTTGTGTGCACAGACAACAGCAGTCATAGTTGGCTTTAATTCATTGTTTCAGAGGGAAAATGGTACTAATACATGAAGAGAAAATTGTCTTCCTGCATCATGATTTGACTTTTGTGATCATTGAGTTTTAAATGAATGTTAGGTCAAGTGTCTGGGTAGCATTTTGTTTATTGCAAGCAGCTGTATTTGCTTGCATTTCTCCTAAGTGATGAACCCAAAAAACCCAAGGCATGAGTGACAAATTAGCTACATCTTGGCAATGATAGGAGTATTTGGAACATACTGAACCTATAGATAGGGAATTGAATGAACCAAAGTGAAACACATTTTTCACTTCCACCATTCGGGTCTATGGGAGTGAGCTTTTGGTGCTAGAAAGATTCTTCTGCTGAGCCCAATACCCTTTATATGTACATGAGGTGTGGCTTTTCTATCTACAGTGCATAATTTAGTAAGAATGTTGACTTAAGAGATCAAGCTACCAGCAGCCAACTATAGGAACTTTCCTGGTAACTTTATTTTGTCAAACAGTTAAACCCTACTTTATATAGTTAAAGGTTTTGCTCTATTAATTGTGGAAGTCCCAACTGTGTTTGTTCCATGTGTTAGGCAGCTTTAAATGATTTGTCTTCCTCTTTATCATAGATTGACAATGTTGGACTACCAGTGTGTATCGAAATGTGCATAAGAGCTCTACAGATGGAATCAGATGATGGAACCACCAAGGCCACTGTGTTTAAAACCATTTCCTGTTTGCTTCCTACTGACCTCGAAGTCAAGCGAGCCTGTCAGTTGACTGAGTTCCTCCTGGAGCCCACAGTAGACTCATACTATGCTGTGGAGACTCTTTATAATGAACCAGATCAAAAACTAGAGGAGGAGAACATGCCTATTCCCAACTCACTACGCTGCGAGCTTCTGTTGGCTTTTAAAACCCAGTGGCCATTTGATCCGGAGTTCTGGGATTGGAAAACACTTAAGCGTCATTGTCTAGCGCTAATGGGTGAAGAAGCTTCAATTGTGTCATCCATTGACCTGCTTAATGATACTGAGGGCCCCGAAGAAGAGGAAGACTTCCTCAGTCAGGAGGGGTTCAAAGATTTCCCAGACCATTTTGTCAGCGGCACGTATGAAGTAAAAGATATCATGGATAAGAGAGAGAAAAACAGAGCAGTGAAAAAACTGAGAGAGAAAGGTTTCATATCTGCCAGGTTCAGAAACTGGCAGGCATATATGCAGTACTGTGTGCTGTGTGACAAAGAGTTTCTTGGCCACAGAATTGTACGCCATGCACAGACTCATCTGAGTGGCGGAGTGTACAGCTGCCCAATATGTACTCAAACCTTTAACTCAAAAGATGGATTGATTCCCCATGTAACATCACATGTTAAACAGTCATGCAAGGAAAGGCTGACTGCAATTAAAACCAACAAGAAATTGTCTAATCCTAAAACAGCTGCACCTGTTATTGCAGCATTAAAAGCCAAGACAGAAAATGAACTATATGAAAATGGTGATTTCCTAGGACAGAGTGAGGTGTTGGTTAACAATGTTCAGGTTAGAGTGCCGAAATATAGCACAGAGAGAAGTGAAGACAACGTATGCCCTGTTGGAAAATGTGGTCGGACCTTCAAATATTTCAAAAATCTTGTTGCACATGTTAAAGGTCATGGAGACAATGAGGAAGCAAGGACTTTCCTTGAAATGCAGAGCAAAAAGGTTGTTTGCCAGTACTGCCGCCGCCACTTTGTTAATGTCACCCATCTTAATGATCATTTACAGGTCCACTGTGGTGTGAAGCCTTACATCTGTATACAGCTGAACTGCAAAGCAAGTTTCCTGTCCAATGCTGAGCTCCTTATACACAGGAAAACACATTCTGCTTTTAAGGCCAGATGCATGTTTCCAAACTGTGGAAAGATTTTCAACAAGGCCTTCAAACTGTATGACCATGAGGCACAACATTATAAAACTTTCACTTGTAAAGTTGTGGATTGTGGAAAGGTATTTCATTCGCAGCAGCAGGTGGATTTGCATCAGGAGGAGCATGCTACTCAAGAGGAAAGGCTATCTTCAGAACAGACTTCACAAAATAAGAAGCCTGGACTTTCACTCATTGAGCAAATGTTTTCAAACCACATGCCCCCAAAACAAGAAAACTGGAACACTGAAAGTGCTGTTAATCCAGATCATGGAAGGCTGCCATTGTCAGTTGAGAGCTTGCAGAAATCTTCACAAGCAGAACCACAAAATACAGCTTTCTCAACCAATCAGACACACGGTTTAAATAATTCTGTCATTCAGTCTGTGAATTCTGACCTGTGTGATCCTGATAAACAGAGAGCTGGTTCAGGCGGTAATTCTTTTGATTGTATGGTGCCACCTCAACAAAATCAAACCGTATCTCAGTTTGAACCAAATTTAGGTAATGCATCACTCAGCTGTAATACAAACGTCTTACGAGGCCAGCCACAAATGGTCCCCTGTAATGTAAATACTGGACCACTGAGTTGCAACTCCAACTGCAGCTTGCCATTGCCAGGAAAGCAACAGCCGACATGTAGTAGCAGTCTGTTCACAGTATCACTGGCCCAAGACTCCCTTGAGCCAGCAACACCACAACCACTTCTTCTAACAGGAACTCCTCAGACACTTCTTGGGAATAGACGAGAGGACTCTGTGACAACTACTACAGGTCACCCTCCAGGACAGAGAGAGCGATTTCACTGTGCATTTGAAATGTGTACAAGGCATTACAGCTCCTACAGAAGTGTTACCAAGCACATGAAAACAGTTCATCCAGATTTCTTTGAACAGTGGAAAGTTGCTCGAACTAAAATCAAGATAACCTATGCTCCAGCACCGAGTACACCACCTGTCATACAGCTTGGATCACTCACATCACTTCAGAACCGGCGCTGTAACAAAGTTCCAGTTAATGGTGTTCAGAGGCAGAATGTTATTCAGTCGCCTCCTTATACTGACACGGGTACAAGCTCAGGCTATACTGCTGCACATTCCCGCTCCCCATCTGCCTACAACCAGAATACTGCACTCCTGATGGACAATGTTTTAAATCCAACTGTTCTGCAACAGTTTAGAAGTGATGGACACCCAGCAGCTGCGCAGTCCCGACCTTTAGATAGTCAAAACTGGCAGACAGCCCCTGGAAGTGAACAGAGTCAGAGCTGTGGCTCTTCCCATGTTTATTCATCTAACATACAAGTGATGCCACAAGTTGATTCTAGCAGTGCCGCTCTACCACTCAGTGTTTCTTCTTGCTCTGTGATTGGATCAACAATCAAGCCAGCAAAGTCCTTGCAGTCGCAACTTCTGAAAAGTGGGTCCCAGTCAGCTTTCCCCTCATACATGGACAATGCAAAGAAAGTGTCACAACAAATGGAAAACCACCTCCCACCATATACATTACAGATGGACAGCAATTTAGTCTCAAATTCCAGAGCACCACAAAAAACAAAGTCAATTCGAAATCGTGCGCAGTCCAATTTTACTTCAAAGAGTGAAAATAAACGCACTCAAAATGGCTCAGTCACTGCTGAAAACAATTTTGAAAATCAAAAGCGAGCCAAAAGAAGCAGAAGGACCAAATGGCCAGCTATTATTAGAGATGGTAAATTTGTTTGTCGCAGGTGCTTTAGACAATTTGATAGTCCCAAATCTCTCGGAGGTCACTTATCCAAGCGTACAGTCTGCAAACCATATGGAGATTCAGAACTGAACAGAGACCTGTCAACATCATTTCTTGACCTCCTCAGTTCAGAGCAAAGAGTTGGCACTGCTCACGCTCAGCTGTCTTATAAGCCTGTTGCTGTGTATCAGGAAAAGCCTCAACAGTCAGTAACAAGCGCTTCAACAACTGCAAAAGACTACCCAGCTCCAGATATTCCGCAAAAGAACTCGCCAGCATACAGCAATGGTGAGTCAAACGATGTCATCCTTAAACAAATCATAGCTGAATCTAATATGTCTGATCTTTTTATGCACACACCTGCTCACCAGCCATTGTTTCAAAACCCTTGTGTTCCTTGTGGAGCCAGTGAGCATTTTCTGGGGAGCTCTGTCATACAGCATACAGAAAATGTCTTGCCAAAGAAAGGGGAAAGGCGAGAGGATAACTCATATAGTACAGCCCATTATCCTCAGCCAAGCATTGATACATTTGCTGCAAGTGAATTCCCTGCCCCACTTCTTTCTCAGATCTTCACAGAAAACCTTGCCACTGCTGTTCCTGACAGTGTTTCTGCAAACCATGTGATTCCTCCTGGGGAAATTCACCATGAAGGGCTTCACTCTGAGACAACCATTCAGACACCAGACACAGATTTGAACTCTGTGTTACCTGATAGTCAGCTTAGTCCAACAACAGCAAGTGTCAAGCAAGCTGAGATGCCAGTGAAAAGTCCTGAGCAAGATATCAAAAAGAGACTGCGGGAGCAGATTTTGGCTGGTGACTTGCGTAGAAACAGCATGTGTGTTTCAGGCAGCACTGACCCTAATGCTGGTTCTAAGACCACCATTTCTTTTGGCCCATTGTGCAGTCCTACCAGTAATTCTGGGCTTCATCAGATGTCATGTGACACAAAGAGTGACAAAGCTAGTCAAGGACAAGTCATTCAAGAAAATTCTGGTGTAATCCAGCGAATCTCTGGTGAAATTGAACAACTACTGAACACACAGAGTTTTACTTGTTTCAGAGAGTCCACCACCTCGCAGCAGGAGATACTGAGCCCTGCAGGCATTCTGGCAATTGATGTAGATTCTGAGCCCACTCAGTTATCTGCCAGTCAGCAACCGTGGATGACAGAAATTCAAAGTGCATTTGAAAGGCTCGACTTGGTTAGAGAAACATCTAATCAAATGTCAGCTTCCAGTAAACAAAATAGCAGTACTATGAATAGCCAGACAGGATCTGCAAAGATTGATTCACATAGCTTAATGCCTGTTTTTGTGAAGTCGTTTGCTTGTGACAATGAGAACTGCACATTTAGTTCTATTTCCAGTGAAGCACTTTGGAAACACCTCTCGAAAACTCACAACTATACATTTGAGAAGGTAAATGTGGTTAAGAAGAAGTATGGCCAATACGCTCCCTTCAAGTGTCAAAAATGTAGTAAAGCATTCACTCGTAATTCAAACCTTCGCACTCATTACCAATCAGCTCATAAATTATCAACTGAAGAAATTGCAGATCTCGATATGAAGCGCAGGCAGGCCAAAGCTGCTGAATCTGCTGCTATTCAAAAGCGCCCTCGTAGTACAAACCAGGCTCCAGCAGATCAAACCACAGTGTCTACCAATCAATCAGTGGAGAAGAGAACACATTGGTATCCACTCCAAGGTGCAGTAAAATGTGATTACCCATCCAACATGAGCATAACTAATCAGAAATTTGAAGCTGACAATCATTCTGCTTGCGTTTGTTCCTTGCAAACAGCTCCCATGCACAACCAAGCAATGACTCTACCAGTACAGTCCCAGACCTCCATGGCAGCCTTTCAGTCAGTACAAGCAGGAACAGCAGCAGAACAGTGGTCTCGTGGTGAGCAGAGAAACCTGGCTAATGTGCCCACTCAACACACAAGTGGTCAGCAAGTTGGAGGCCATTTGGCCAAAGTGTCAGCTCCTCTCACCAAAGCTCTTTCTGCAGCCCCTCATGTTAATGGGCCTTTGTCTATCAGCAAACAGTCTATCAACAGGCAGTCAGTAGTTAAACCAAGCAAAGACATAACCCGCAAGACAAAGGTGAAGAAATCCAAATCGGGTGGGGCCACAAGTCCATACAGACCATATTGCTGTGTTCATCAAGGCTGTGTGGCAGCCTTCACCATTCAGCATAATCTTATCCTCCATTACAGGGCTGTTCACCAGTCTGCTTTATCAGCACTGGAGGTGAACAAAGAGCAGGACCAGAAAGAGGGACTGGATGAAATAATGGAACAGGAGGAGGAGCAGGATGAACTAGAGGCAGAGATCCCCCAAATTTATGAATTCAGGTGCCAAGTAAAAGACTGCTCCCGTGTTTTCCAAGATGTTCCTAACCTTGTACAGCACTACCTTCAGCTACATGAATTTAGTCTTGATATGGTTGGTAATCTCTTGTCTGGCATCAAGCTAGGCAAGTTTGCTTGTGGCCACCAAGGATGCACAGTGTCCTTCACTACTCTGTGGAAGTATGTAGGGCATGTCAAAGAACAGCATAAAGATATTAATCTGGCCAAACCTGAAAATTTAAATGGCTCATTCAAGTGTGAAATTGAAGGCTGTGACCGTTCATATGCCACAAAGTCAAACCTGCTCAGACATGTCATGAAAAAGCATCAGGATCTGTCCCTGGCAAAACTTAAGACTCAACAGATAAATGAAGGTGAGGTGAAACAAAATTCAAAAACTTTGCATTACCAGATTACTAAAACAAGTAATGGAAAGGAAAACATTGAGAGCAATAAAAAGATTGTACAGAGGGAAAGTGACACAAAGGGAGTCAGGAAGTCAAAGCACAGTCACTGGACAAAATATGGAAAACCCTCCTTGAAATCTAAAGTTGAGGCATCTGCAATGTGCACAAAGAAATTTCCTCTACAATACCCGTGTATGATCAAAGGCTGCGAGTCTGTGATGAAATCAGAGCGGAGCATATTAAAACATTACATGGGACATGGACTGTCAGACAAGTACCTGGAACAGCAGAGGAGTTACTTCATATTCTGTAAAAAGGTACCCAGGCAGAAGTGCCGTTCTGTTAGGAGTGATGATTCCAAATCAGACAACACCTCTGACCTGTCAGACAAAGAACTGCCAACAGCAGATATCAGTCTGGAAGGAGCGGAATATGGCTATTCCAAGCCTATCCTACGCAAAAGGGCAACAGGAGGGATCCCTGCTGTCTTGTTTGATAGCAAATTATCAAATGATGAAAGTTCTGATGGCTCTGTGGTGCTCAAACGCAAACGAGGACGTCCACGTAAACTGATTGAAAAAATTGTGAAGCGCAAGAAAATTCCACGCATGACCAAGATTGATGTAGTTTACAGCAGGGATGATGAATCAGACTCCTCTTGCCCTGCAATACTGCAGGAGGAGATGACTGAGCAGAGTGCTCCACTGGCCTCTTTTAAACCAATGGGATTTGAAATGTCTTTCTTAAAATTCCTGGAGCAGTCAAATAAATCTGAAAATGTCTTCACAAAGAATGGAAAAAAACATCCAGTTTGAATACCAAAGACACCTGTGTCAGGTTCAGCAACCCTGAGAACTTCAAGTCCTTTGGTAAGGTTAAAATAATTGTAGACGGGGCCTTTTCAGGTGTCATTGACCTCATGTTGAAACAGCTGCAGGACATGCAGCCCATAGTGGTATTAGAAAAAAATGACTAGTCGTTTTTTGTGTTTTTTTGTTTTTTTTTTTAAAGCAGAATCTCAGGACTTGAATCTGCTGCAGACTGGTGCCCTAAATGTTTTTATACACACCCAGTTAAACAAGTTTTAGAATTGTACTGTAATACAGTCTGTACGTTGTTTCTTTATTTTGTTTAGTTTTTTTGTAAACATACAAATGTGTATAGCATGTTTTTATTTATGGACTGTTCAGTCAAAAAAATGAAAATCTGACATTGGGTTTGGTGTCTCAATTATCCCCGTGGGACTTGAAGACTAAAAGGATTTGAAATGGGCTGTACTGTGTGTAGTCAGTGATTTAAATATGTTGATTGTGTGTTGTATATATAGTTTGAAATCACCCACTGCCACCAGCAGTCTTAATATTAAACAAATTCTTCTTTTATAACCCGTTTCTTGTTTTTCATCATTTGCCATGTTGTGCAGATTACACTGCAGTTTAAGAATTCTTTTCATAGTGGACCGCTGGTTGGTGCTGCAGCATGACACTGAACAGAACGAGTATATGGATGTTTTTACGTTGTTAAATTAGCTATGCTGTAGTGATTAACTTTTGTATTAAATTTTAAATGTTTTCTTAAGTCATCCAGGTTATAGTAAGCTGAAAAAACTTCTAGGTTTTTAGGTCAAAGATGTTTCACCTCTCATCCAAGAGGTTTCATCAGTTCATGTTTTTATGTACTGTGCTGCGTTGGTCAGGCAGAGAGGGGAGGGTTGTAGTGTGTACAATATGGCCATGTTCTGACGAATCGATGAGTAGCTTCATGTTTCTCGTCCATGAGCTGCTGTTGTGTTTTAGTTAGCCATGCTACTAAAGTAGCCTACTAATTGTGTGAAATAAACCCAGACTAGGGAAAAATTACTTTATAAAATAAATTTGGAGGAATGAGAAAAATAAAGAATGGGATACCATTTGTAGTGATCAGTGCAGTATGAACAAAAGATAAGTTGTATTCTTAATGATTAAATATAACAATGTTACATTCTGCAAAATAAGTGTTTGGATAAGATGATCTGTATTTTTAATTTAACTAAGAATCTTGTAACAAATACATGTATGGGATTTTAAACAGCTGAAAAATCAACTATACATTCAGTGAGTTATGATTTTAAATGTGGGTAGATCTCCTTCCTTCATACACAGCCACGCGTTAGGAGGCACGGCATCTGTGTTTCAGCACGATGGCCATATTACATACAGCGATGGCTCATGAATGCTTGTGGATGAATCCCAATTTTCTTAGTTGCATCCACACTTTCCTCATTTGTGTCTTTTCCTTGTGTCTTCGTCCTGCCCACAAAAGGAAGGAAGGAAATTTAGGAAACGCTCCTAGAGCCAAGATGCCCTTTCCTACAGTCCATCTGAATTGTCCAATCACTAACTGATTTCTAATAAAAAGGGTGTGTTGGTCCATGTCGTGGAAAAAAAAAATATCTTCCTTTATGTGCTAAAATGAGCAACCTTTAGCGAGTGTGAAATAAAGAGGTTTAGGACAGATCTGTCTTGTCATTTATTTCATTGTCTTCTTTTTGCAAGTACTAACAGTAAAGTAAAATATTAAGCTAAAAAACTGAGGCCGTGCACTCTGGCCAGGATTTGAACCTGGTACTTCCCTCAAAGATGACAGATGTGTTACCAGTGCACCTCAGGACTCAGCCAATAACCATATCAGTTTACTGTATCCGTTCAACTTCAAGGTATTCCAGGTTTAACGTTAACTGACAGTCTGGAGCTGGGATCGCGGTTCTGTGTGGCTTTAAAGGAATTGGTTTAAAAATGGCAATACAGATTTAAAGTTGTTTTTGGTTCCTTACTGAAGCAGAAAATGTTCCAGCACTGACGGGTGATCCAGCTGTCGAGCAGTCCTTGGTAAATGATAATCACTGGATATGTCATCTGTAGGTCACGGATTTTCATTTCTCATAAATCTGATCCTTTTCCTGCTCTTTATACTTTCTCAGCTGTACATAGAAAAGATAAAGACACAAGGGACAGAAATGGATGAGTGCCAGAAAGCTGACTTCTACCTAATCCTTTCTCGCTATATTTTTTTGATGACATGCTCACAATGACATACCAAGCTCACCACCGTTGTGTTTACATGCAACCCTTTGCTCTAAAACCATGTACAACTAAAGCTTATTCAACAGCCATTACTTTATATAGTGATGAAATTCAGCCAAGTATATTTGCAGCTTTAACACATCAGGCGCTGATTTTCACATAAACCAGAATTATTAATTATGACAGGCAATAAAAAGCAAAGAAAAGCACGTAGGCTATATAAACATGCCTGCTGCTGTAGCAGCCAAGGTGGCTACAGTCGTAGTCATCCAGCAGCTGCTGTTGCTGATCCAGCAGCCATCGTAGCTACTGCCGTAGCCATCCAGCCACCGTGGCAGCCAAGATGGCCACTGTGACTCTTATTATTTTACTTGTGATCTTCTGTCTCAAAGTAAGCATAAACATAAACTTTATTGTCAAGTATTTCAAGAACACAAGGAATTTGACTCCAGCTCAATGGCCCCCAATGTGCACAACATAAAAACTAAATAAATACACATTATGTACAGTATATTACAGTGAAAACATTAACGTGTCTAATTTTCCTTAAATACACTAACATTCATGCTATGAAGCTTATTTGGCTCTCACATGAACACAGGTATCACTCATTATTATAACGTTTATTAGTTATAGACAGACCCAGTATTATTAGCCATGTACGTGGCAGCACCGATAAACAGTGATCATGTTGCGCTCACAATGTAAACACAAACTGTAATGATAGCACACTAGCACACCACTGTATTTATAATGTTGGTTATTTCAATGAGCAATCTTCTGTCTCAAACATTACAGTGAAAATGTTAGCGTGTCTAACCTTTGAAAGATATACTATCTCAATACACAATGAAAACACAAAATGAAAGAACACTGTGGCCTATTTTAAAGACCCTGACTTCTGGCAAAAGCTAAGTAAAAGAACAGGTCTGTAACTTGTACATGCCACAATGCACATACCAACATTTAAAATATTGCAGATTTCCAAATTTCCTGCAGATACAGGACCCCTTTACAAACTATTTGGAGTTATGAGGGGTATCAAGCTAATCTAGAGGTACCCAAGATTAAACATTAAATGGTCGGAAACAAGCAATATGAGCATGCCATGGGCACTTTAAAGTTGTTCTAGTTGAGGAGCAAGAAACTGTCAACTATGGAAATTGAGATTTACTCAAGCCCCATTCAGACTTGGTTTTAAAATGTCTCTCATGCAAACACAATTGGACAGTTGAGACACACCTGTGTATTTACATATCTCCACAGTGTCCAGCTGACCCCTTGTGTTCAGATTTTGCTACTTAAATATCAAGGTCACAGGCATAATTATTACATCAGTCTGTTAACAGACAAGTGCCAGTAGTCTCCTAAACCAAAGAGAATAAAAAGTGTCACATTTGTACATGGATGTATTATGAAAGCTTTCATAATATGTTGATGTATTTGTATTGGATGTTCCTCTCCATTTTTTTTCACCAAAGCAACCACCCCCTTCTGCACTGGTGACATATTTTCCTCAAATGGCCTTGTCAGAGATGCATCAGGACGCACTAACATTTATACTACAAAAGATTGTGGTCAAATGTGTGCCAGAACACCTTGGCAAGTGGTTTCAGTGATTTGACCACAATCTGTCTTGGTGCTCATTCACACTTGTATTTAGTGCTGTCCACTTGTGAACCAATGACTAAGGACACATTTTAAAACCACGTCTAAGCAGGGTGTCAGAGTCATGAGATGTCCTGTCCACCAGTCCTACTTCAGGTGTCCAGTCACCAACTGATTTCTGAGAAAGGGGTGTGTTAGTTAAAAAGACAAAGGATGGTGCAACCCTGCTCACGGCTCCTCCAGGCAGCCCCCTCGCTGCAGGAATAAGAGCTTTGGGACGGTTGTCAAGATGTCATACCGAAATGACTTCTGGGTCAAGTGAGGATTGAGGAGCAAAGAATGATCAGTTAAGAGAATTGGGATGTACCCATAGATGTGTTTTTATATATGTACTGGAGCTATGTGAAATTCATGTTTCCAGCAGAACCGAATCCTTAACTGGAAAATTTATACTGTCAGGAGTTAGACAAGTCAGAGTGTCATAACATAAGTGCATAGAGGAGGGCATATGAGGCTGTAATAGTGTTAAAACCCTACTTAGTGTCATTAATGTGTCAGTATGCTCACACAAATAAATGCTGTATCTCTCAGTTTACAACTAACTGTATCCTAAAATCTGTTTCAATTTCACTGTTTCAGTTATTCGCAGCCCTCTGAGACCAGACAGGCTGGTTTTCAGCAGTGGATGCAGGTTGTACATTGCTGTCCTCTGTGTTTACTGTGGGCTCTGTAGAGACGTATGTGTTGACAATGGAAACACGTCGGCTGTGGCTGGAAGCCTTCTCCTCCATGGGGACATACAACTTGGTGAAACATTTCCACAACCTCTTCCATACAATGTACATGAGCTCCACAAAATTCAGAGCAATACACAGAATAGAGGTGCAGCCCATGATGTAGAGGAAGATCTTCTTCTCTTTGGCTCTGCTAATGTAACAGTCGACCGTGTTAGGACAGGGACTCTCACTGCAGCGGTGCAGTATGGGCACCTCAAAGCCATTATACAAGAAGTAGAAAGTGAGTAGGAAGCCCACCTCGAAGGCTATCTTGAAGAACAGGCTCACTGTGTAGGTGCAGAACAGACCTCCATCAATGCTCCCTTTGTCCTTGTACAGTTTCCGCTTGTGTTTGGCCTCCCGGTGCTCCCTGTAGGCCACATGCAGGGCAACCAACAAGGATGGAGTAGACACCATGATGAGCTGCAGAGCCCAGAGACGCACCTGTGAGATGGGGAAGAAGTGGTCAAAGCAAGCGTTCTCACAGCCAGGCTGCTGGGTGTTGCATACAAAATCCTTCTGCTCATCCTTCCACACTTGCTCGGCTGCTGCCACATACACTAAGATCCTGAAGAGAAAGACCACAGAGAGCCAAATGCGTCCGATCACGGTAGAGTACTTGTTCACCCCACTGAGAACGTTTTCCAAAAAGCCCCAATTCATCTTCCTCCAAGTCTCCTGTCAGGGAATAAACCAAGATGCAATTGAATATAGCAGCACATAAGTATACCAATGTTTCTGTTTGTTTCTACCAATTTACTACAAATCACATCATTTATATATACATCACTAATGACCACCTTTCTGAAAACCATTGATTTCCATTCACTGCACAACATTATCTGTAATGTGGACTCTTTATGAAAGGTCTGCACTGTATTAACACAATAATTACATAATTTTGTAACGTGTGGCTGATTTGTAGACCTCCACCTT